GAATTTATCATCCTAACAATATCAGTATAATTGTCCAGATGGGGAGGGGTGTGGGGGTGGTGGCCAAATGGTTAATGTGTGCACGTTGTATCATAAGGCCTGTCATTAAGCCTACATGTAAGTGGTATGGTTTCGATTCCCCACATCTACATGACCAACCTCATGTGTTTTCTCTAGGTCCTCCGGTTTCCTCCCACTGCTAAAGACCCCTATGGGCAAACAAATTAATGAAATAAATTTGAAACATATGTTAGTACGGAAATTACCTAGTTTGTGTTGTGTTGAGTGGTTGGACTTTAAGCCCTCTCTCTCTCTCTCTCTCTCTCTCTCTCTCTTTTATGTGCACACCAACATGTAAAGGACCAAATATTGTTCCTTTATAAGCCCCTTTTCTTGGCAACCACTGGGATCGAACCACAATAAATATCTTACGTTTAATAATAATAGTCCTCTCTACAAAACAATACATTGACCTTTATCTCTGAGATTATGTTATTTATTGTTATATAAACTGTGATAAAATCGATTATTTACTGTATATATTAGTATAAATAACGATCTAATGATACAACCCTTGGCAATTTACAATAAATCAATTCGTGATAAATACATGTAATTGGTTTGGTTCATATACATTGTACATATAATAAATGTAAGTTCATGTCCTATAACTTACAGTCTTATGTTGCAAAAGATCAGTGCAATAAGGTCAAGTAATGAATCATTGGTCATACATTTCCTGACCTTTTATCAAGCAGTGTTTTGGAATAAAATAGGCCTTTATGAAATTCAATTTCCTGGAATCATCTTAGAATAGTTTTAAAGTAACAGTCACCTAGCATCTTCCCCAACACTATCGGCCACATATAATCAAATGAATTTTGACTAAGTTTTATTATCCAGTATTTTTTTCTAATTGCACATGTTTTCATGTTTTGCGCTTAGTTGTACAAATTTGAATGTACAAATGCACAAAAAATATAAAAAACTTAAAAGAGCTTAAAAAAATATATTGTTGAAATGAATATAAAATAAATATAACGTTTTGGGTATAGAGCTAAAACTAAAAAACTTGTAGTGATCTCTTGTTCTTACAATATGCAGTAATAGATTTTAATAAAGTTTTACCAAGCACCTAGTGGTGATGGCTTATTTACCAAGCACCTAGTGGTGATGGCTTATTTACCAAGCACCTAGTGGTGATGGCTTATTTACCAAGCACCTAGTGGTGATGGCTTATTTATCTTATCTTTGGAAATACTAAACGGAATTGAACCATTTTCAAACTTATGGTGCTTTTAAAAACTAAAAAAAACATTGTGGTTTCAGGGGCGGCTTGTTAAACAACACTTTTCTCATGTTGTGTGCTTTATCCTTTATCATCAGATATTGGGATGGGATGGGCATTCAAAGTGCAAGATAACGATATAGATAAGTGTATTATCACAATTAATTCCTTGCATCACAATGTGATCCTATTAATTCATTATAAAACTTGATGTCAAACGACGTGTTGGTTTTCTCTCTTTAAAAAAGCTGTAGAACTGCTGTCCAGGCAAAATTTCCCTCATAGCACAACACTGTATGGCATAAGCCCACCTTCATTAGCCCAGTTTGTGTAGGACGTTAAACCCCATTTCATTTGCAAAAGAATGGTGTTGGTCTAGTTTTATAGACTTATTGTTCCTTCACAGGGTAACGAACTTGGATAGTATTCATGACAAGAAGAGTTAGATGTAAATTCTGATCTGATTTTTATTGTATTGTTGTCAAGGTTCAATAGCCAACAATACAAGTCATAACATTACTGACTATAAACAGTTTTTTTTATAATGGCAATATATACAACTATTATTACATGCAGACATTGAAAACTTGTAGACACTCTGTCATAAAAAAGAGGTTGGGTGGTTTAGTCATTATTAGTGCGTCACATGAAATCTCAAGATTTGTCATTGAGTCAAGTGGCATGTTTACAATTCCCCACTTGCATGTGACAAGGAGTAAGCTGTCCAACCTTGTGTGTTTCCTCTGGTTCCCCCAGTTTCCTCCCACTGCCAAAGACCCCTACTCACAAGCGAATATTAAAATAGAATTGAACCATATGTTAGGTTGTGTCAAGTGGACGTTAAACCCCATTTCTCTCTCTCTCTCTCTCTAGTGACATATGTTGTTGTCTCATGTATTGCGGGGGTGGATGGCGGATTGGTTAGCGTGTGCGCACTGCATCATAAGGCCTGTCATTGAGTCAGCTGGCATGGTTTCGATTCCCCAGTTGCACGTGACAAGGAGTAGGGTCATCTATCTAACCTCGTGGGTTTTCTCCGGGTCCTCTGTTTCCTCCAACTGCTAAAGACCCCCTATGCGCAAGTAAATTATTGAAATAAAATTGAACCATATGTTAGTCCTGAAATGACAAGGAGTAGGGTCATCAATCTAACCTCGTGGGTTTTCTTCGGGCCCTCTGTTTCCTCCCACTGCTAAAGACCCCCTATGCGCAAGTAAATTATTGAAATAAAATTGAACCACATGTTAGTCCCGAAATGACTATTTTGTGTCGAGTGGATGTTAAACCCCATTTCTCTCTTGTAATTGAAATTTATGTTGATTGTTCAAATTCGTGAGTTTAAAAAGTTTATTGAATTGCAGCAATTTACATTTAGAGTTATTGTCCTTGTTATCTTTGTAGAGTCTTGTGAATACCCTACAATAATGTATGGACAAAAATTATCCGATTTGCATTGTTCAAATTAGTGAAATGAGGATGGATCTCTTGAATCCAACCCAGGATAATATCTACATTTGATTTGACATTTTGGCTTGAAATTCAAGATAGAAATTTTTATTGTATTTTATAGAGATGAACTGATCAACATTTATAACAATTGGTATCAACCAATAACACCTCTGTCACGCATCTCTATTATATTGGTTTAAAATAAAGACAAGACAAAGTATATGTATATTAAACATACAAGCATTCAGTAATAATACTACTACTACTGAACTTTACACATGTTCATGGTTTGATTTTATCTTAAATATGATCAAACTCACACCCATTTTGGGGTGTGGTTAAATTCTTTCTTAATAAAGTGCTTGTAATGATGTGTGGGCAATAATAGAGATTTTTAACTAGTAAAGAGGTGTGACCATTTCAACGATAACAGCTGAATGAGCAAAAAACACTATTAACTGGAATATGTCATTGCTATTAGATTGGCCTTCTTCATTAGTCCAATCGGAGCAGAACAGCGTAGGACTTAAGTCTCATTTCATTTCTATTAGATTGGTCATATTCCTATTAGATTGTGTACGTAATTTGATACTTTTGCAAAATATTTATGAGGACACTTAATTTAAAACATGCAGTTTGAACCAGAAACCATTCTATTTTAATCCAATCCAAATGCGAGGGTGGGATGGCCAAATGTTTAGCATGTGCGCGCTGTATCATAAGGTCTGTCATTGATGATTGAGTCAATTGGCGTGGTTTTGATTCCCCGGTGACGAGGAGTAGGGTCGTCTGTTCAACCTCGTGGGTTTTCTCCTGGTCCTTCAATTTCCTCCCGCTGCTAAAGACCCCTACGCACAAACGAATTATTGAAATAAAATTAAACCATATGTTAGTCCCGAAATGACCTAGTTTGTGTTGAGTGGAGTTAAACCCATTTTTCTCTCTCTCTCACTCTCTCTCTCTTTCTCTCCAGTCTAAATACATAATAGGGATTGGTACATGTAACTTTAACATGTCAGTTTCTACAGTTAAGCAAATATAGTTTTTTACCAGCAGCTCTCTAGCATAAATACTGTTTTATTTCACATACATACGGGTAAATTATAAAAAAATGACTTCATGACTGACTATATGGTGAAAGTGAGTTGACCCATGAAAGTACAAAGCCATGTAGTGTCATGGCAACTTGATTGATTAGGGTGGATGACAAATTGACAACATACTTTTGTGAAGGCTTATAAAAAAAATAGGTTACAAATATTAATTTGTTTTTTTTTTTGTTTTTTTTATCACAAACATATTATTTATAATATTTGATTTAGTGTGCATATTTTTGTTGAGATTATACCAATATTTAATGTTGTTGATCCCGATCATACATTATTTGGAAAATATCAAAATTTTCTATGCTTAAAGTTGATGATTGTTTTTTGCATTTTTGGACAGTAATTTTTCACACTAAAATGGAATTAAGTTGGTTATTTAATATTAAATTAAGAAAGAAAATATCAACTGAAGATAATCTCTCGGCTTGTATACAATTGAATTCAAATAGCACATTCAAGTAATTGACCTAACACTTATAGGTTTTGCTGGCTTTAACATGTTTAAAGGGAACATACCGACAATCTTTTGATGCTTACCTTACAGACTTGTTATATAACATTGTACATAACATCATTGGTATCCCCAATGGTCTCATTCCGTTCTATTCCACTAACCCCTGGGTTCATACATGGGAGAGAAACATTCAAGTTATCTGCCCTTGATAACTGTGCTATTTTTATTGACAAATCAAAGAAATCGTTAAATACATTGGAATTTGGTAAAGGTAAGTAACTCTCATCTTGTTGCAAGAAACAAGCCGCCATATTGTGAACGTAAGCAATGAGGCTACATGTAAGACTGGTTTGTAAACTGTAATTTGATTGGTTCATAGAATCAAGCTACGATTAAGGGCAGATAATTTGAATACGTGAATAACCCATGTATGAACCCAGGGTATAGTGGAGTAGAACGGAATGAGATCACTGGGTATACCGAGGATGCGTACATAAATGATCACCTTAGATGTTATCTTATATTTGCATGTATATATCATCAACTTTTGTATGTTGTCCTTGATGGATCTGACGATAGTCACGATGCAATAAAATCTTATCTTTTCTTACCACTACATGATTACCATTACATATGTTTCTTATCCTTATAACATTAATTAAGTATTATGTTAATTCTAATGTAAATTTCTTTTGTCTTTCAGCAAATTTGTGACAATCCTAAGTTGTTTGTAGAAGGTGCCAGTTCTGGTGATGTATCACAAGGTCGTCTTGGTAACTGCTGGTTTGTTGCTGCATGTTCCTGTTTAGCACAAGAAAAAGAGATTTGGAACAAGGTATGCTAGAAATTGTCTTATACTTGAACCAGAGGCGTGGTTCACCCTTGTCAATGGTGCAGGACGGACGTCCTGGCAATGGACAACATATAGTCATTCGGGTGAAACAAAAAACCAAGGTCCTTTGTTCACAATTGGTGTGCACGTGAAAGAACCCTTGATAGTCGGCGGTAGTGCCACTGTCCAGGCTAAAGTTTGCTCATACATGTAGCACACTTCATTAGTCCAGTCGGAGCAGGAAAGTAGGATGTTAAACCCCATTTCATTTCATTTGTTATTTGAACCAGAAACTGGTTCCATACATGTATGTTTGGTAATTTTACTTCTTTAAACAATGGCACATTATTTGACCAATCAATTGAGTACAATCACTGTGCTTTGTTCTTTGACCAACTTCAATTTTTATATGGCCACATTGAAATGTGAACGTTGTCGTCGCCCCCATCCGGCAGTCCAGCATTCACAATTGCTTGTGGACACTCTAGAGGCTAAAGTTAATATCCGATTGACTTCGAATTTATACAAAGTGTTTAAGGTGCTGGGACAAAGGCCTATAGATCTGTAGCAATTTCCGATAATTACTGCCAGAGTTATGGCCTTTGATTGCTTTGATTTTGAAAATTCTAGAGGCTAAAGTTAATATGAATTGTTCAAGGCCATGAGACAAACAATCGCAACAAATTCTAATATTTTCTGATAATTACTTCATGGGTTATTACTCGTAATCAGATTTTTATGTGTTGTAAATGTTCTCATTACTGACAAAAATATGCGACAACACTTGCAAGATGGCTCTGATGATGTTGTGGTCAATTCCTGGTATACAAGATGATCAACTGAGAGCCATGATGTACACACAAATATACTTTTAATCAAATCTAATAGTAATGGCAGGAAGACCGCACTACACACAAACAAAATCGAAAACAACAAACCTGTGGACAAGACACAAAATATAGACATTGCAAGAAATAAACAACAAATATTAAATCAAACGAATGTTGTTGTCTTTTGTTTTTCTGTAGGTTATCCCAGATTCTAAAGAACAGGAGTGGAGTGATGAAAAACCAGAGAATTATCAAGGAATTTTTAAATTTCAATTCTGGAGATATGGAGAATGGACAGAGGTGGTCATTGATGATTTTCTGCCTACCATTAACGATGAACTTGTTTTCATCCATTCACAGAGTAAAAATGAATTTTGGAGCGCACTCTTGGAAAAGGCCTATGCCAAGTGAGTATTTAAATGAGAGATTGTTGTCACCTAGGAGGGGGGTGAGGATGGCCTAATGGTCCAGGGTGTTGCCTGTCACCCAAGCATGCTCATTATTCTTGTAAACACTCTACCTTTGCTGAGAGTGTTCAAGAATGTGTAGTCAACATCATTAGGGACTCTGCCGATTTTAAGTCATGCATTGATTTATCACAGTGTTATTTGACCTTTTGTTGAACCTTCTTAATTCTGCTTCTGCCATTACGTTTTATTTTGTTTGTTTGAGTCAACTGGCGTGGTCGTCTGTCCAACCTCGTGGGTTTTCTCTGGGTCCTACGGTTTCCTCCCACTGCTAAAGACCCCCTACGCGCATGCGAATTATTGAAATAAAATTGAACCATGTGTTAGTCCCGAAATGACCTATTTTGTTGCAAGTGGATGTTAAACCCCATTTCTCTCTCTCTTTTATTTTGTTTGTTCTGTTTTTAAATTTACTACGGTAAGGACAGTACCTTTTGCACAGTGGTGGTAGGATTTACCATCCAGGTCTGATCGAAATTTTAACTGAGATAAAATGCAAATTTTAGTAATTTGATTGGATAATATTAGATTGAATTTAGTGCTTAGCCAATCAAAATTGAAGTATCTACTAAAGTTTAGATTTTATTTTTAGTTAAGATTTCAAGAAACAGGGCCCAGGTCTGATCGAAGTTATGCGGTTTGTGGATTTTGTATAACTGAGAGACGGCGAGCCGCCGTTTCTATCGTAAGTCGTTAATAACCAAGATTCTGTTAACTTTTTTTTTAAAATTAGATTTTTTGGTTGTTACGAAGTATTAGATGGTGGAGAATTAGCCGAAGCTTTAGAAGATTTTTCTGGAGGTGTGTCCGATACCATTGATCTGGTTAAATCTAATGTCAATACAAATGTCGAGGAGCGAGTTAAGTTGTTTGCTCATATGAAGAAAGACATGGACAGAAGATCGTTGATGGCAGCTTCTATCCCAGTAAGTAAACACAAGTAATGATGATCTTTGAGAATCCACGACTGTTCCTTCTTGTTATATGTGTATGAGTGGCTCGCCCAGGCGTAATAACCAGCAGGTCTCTGGTTCGATCCTGGTGTCGGAATTTGGAATTTTTGGTGAATATAGCTCATGCTCACTTGGCAGATAGGAGATCTCTGGTTCGATTCTGGTGTTGGTCAAGTGAGTTCATCAAAATTCATCGGCCTGGTTACCGTTTTTTTGTCCTGTGCAGGACGGAGGGCCTAGCAAGTGTCTTGTGGTTCATATAGGATAAAAAATGAAAAACTTGTGTATACCATTGGGAGTACATTAAAGATCCCCTGACAGTTGGAAATCAAAGGAAGAGTAAGCGGAAATGCTATTGTCTGGGTAAAATTTACCTCATAATAGCACATTGCATGGCATGCATGCCCGACTTCCTAAGCCCATTCAGAGCATTAAAGTAGGACACTAAACTCGTTTTCATTTTAATTTATTTGTATATGTCCATGTATAATTTAATGTCCCTTTATTTGGTGCAGGACAGAGCAGCTGTCCTTGTTGCTCAGACAGGACAAAAAACAAAGTCCTGTGTATACCATTTGCAACTCGTTAAAGATCTTCTAAAGTTAGAAATCGAAAGTAGAGTAGGGTGAAATGCGATGGAAAATTTCCCTCATAGCATAATGTATGCCTCTCTTCAAGAAATGTAAGACGATAATTTTATTTTTATGTATGTGTACATGTATAATTTGATTAATTATATTTATTTCTAGGCTACATCAGCTGATGAAATGGAAGCGTCAACTAGTAATGGTTTAGTTAAAGGTCACGCGTATGGTATAACTGCCGTGAAAAACGTCCATCTTGAAGGTTCAGGGTTGTTTGGATTATTTAATCGTGATAAATTACCGATGGTTAGATTAAGGAATCCATGGGGACAGGGAGAATGGAAAGGTGCTTTTAGCGATGGGTGAGTACAGAAATTACAATCAGTGGAAAGGAGGGGGATTTTGCCGGGGTAGTGACGCTTCCAGCTACACTTCATTTAATTCCAACTATCAACGGGTCTTTTATGTGCAAGCCAACAAGTACATATTCGAACTTTGAATTTTTTATTATCCGATCAGAGCGATAATTTTCCTTGCCAAGCCCCCTATCCTGAACCAACTTAAAGGGGAAAAAAATCAAAGTTGAAACCTGAATCGATTCCAGTACCTCCTGGTTAGTGAAGTTTGGGAGGCCAATTCTTTAGATCATAAGGTCTGTCATTGAGTCAACTGGCGTGGTTTCGATACCCTGATTGAAGGTTCACCTGTCCAATCTTGTAGGTTTTCTCCGGGTCCTCCGGTTTCTTTCCCCTGCTAAAGACACCTACGAGTAAGCGAATTATGGAAATAGTCCTGAAATAACCTAGTTTGGGTCAAATGGACGTTAAACCACATTTCTCCCTTTCTCCCTGGCGTGTGAACCAGTAGCGCCATACTCAACGAGCTATCGCTGCTCCAAAATGATAACACATGTACGGTTCATGTATTGACTGATTGCTGACAGCATCCTGGTGATTGGTTCATTGCTAATCCGTAATCATTTGTAAAAGATAAAGATAAATTGACATAAAATTATATTTACATTTGTAGATCTCCAGAGTGGAACAAAATCAGTAAGGCTGATCGTGAGAAGGTTGGTCTTACATTTGAAGATGATGGTGAATTCTGGTAAGTATAACTTTTATGATAGTCTAAGAGGAATTTACATTGATTAAAGATACATTATGGAAAATTAGATAAGGAGGTGGCAGTTCTCACTATTATAGTTAAAAACTAGATAATGTAAAGGGAATATGCTGAAAATTTCAGTCAAATTACTTCACTCTTAAAATCACTGTAGCCTCGATTGGCATTGTTACCGCTGTCAGGATAATTAAAGCCTCAATTATCCATTTTTGCGGTTAATCATCAATGGGCATTAACAGCAGGTCGTGTTCAAATCCAATGAAAGTCGGAGACATCCGATGGCATCAAAAGTTTAGTATAGTCTTTTCGTGTTAATTGATATCTAATTAATAATTCAGATAACATTTAAAGGGCCTAAAGAAAGACCTACAATAGGCAGATTTACCTCTTGAATAATATATGGTTAAACATATAATGACAATGAGAGGTTTTTATAAAAAAGAATACATGTATATTTTATGTTTTTTATTAGGATGACAATGGATGATTTTTCAACCAATTTCCTCAATGTTGCCATCTGTCGTGTGGTTAATACAAGTTTCTTATCTCTAAATAAAACATGGCACGAAGGTCTACATCACGGAGCGTGGAAGAAACCAAACCGAGCTGGTGGTTGTATGAACAACAGAGAATCATTCTTAAATAATCCACAGGTAATGTAAATAAAATGGGGGTTTAATGTCCTACTTTTCTGCTTCAACAGTGTGCTATGAGGGGAATTTTGCTCCCATTGTGGCGCTACAGCCTATTCTTGTTTTGAATATTGAGGCTCACGATCGCCAAGTGGGTATGACGCTGGCTCGGTAGCCTGCATTGGCCAAGAAAGTTCATTTAGATTTTCCGGCGTCGTTCCTCTTTGTCTATGATGCAGGACGGAGGGCCTGATAAGGACACCTGTCTAGTCATTCGGATGGGACGAAAAACCCAAGTCCCGTGTACACATTGGCGTGCATATAAAAGATCCTGTGACAGTTGGAATTCGATATAAGAGTAGGCTGTAGTACTGCTGTCCGGGCAAGATATCTCTCATAGCACACTGTATGGTGTATGCCTGTCTTCATCAGCCCAGTTCGGAGCAGAACAGTAGGACATTAAACCTCATTTCATTTTTGTTTTGAATTCAAACTGCCAAAGTTTTAGGATTCGATGAAGCACAAGGTAGGAAGTATTTTAGCAAATCACTTTCCTACAGTCATATTCCTGAAGCAGTGGCCCGAGAAATCCCTCTCTGGCCAATGCTGAATTGGCTTATGATACTTGAGCTTTTGAGGGAGTGTGTGTATTCTTCCCGTTCAATTAAATCTAAGTACAACAACTTGACAGCCTTTCTTTTAATCTGGGGTCTTCCCTAAAACTTTGGTCAGTGATTTAAGGTATTAAAAACGGTAAAAGCACTTGTATTGTTTGTCTCCAAACAATATTGTTTACATTGTAACAGTGTTGATAACCTTGTTTGTCACCAATTAGTTTTTCTGCAATATTCTGCTATGTACTGGTTAATTGGGCATATTGAAATCGTGAGGCATGATGTAACATTATGTAAACATATATTGTCCAATTTGGAGCTCTGTTTAAAGCGTAATGATATTGTTACGCAGTTAGGTATTGGTTGTTAATCGGACTATTGACCAGTCATAATTTGGAACAGAAATTTGCTTCCATTACAGAAGTGTTAAGTGGGATTAGCTTGAATCAAACGAAACACTGCGAGGAGTATGTCCATAAGTATGTGTTATATTTTATTGCAAGCAAGTACATGTATTTATTTATTTACTCATTCATTCATTCATTCATTCATTCATTCATTCATTCATTCATTCATTTATTTATTTAATGAAATAGGTAGCAAATATTTAGCAGTTGTTGTTAAGAACTAAATCTAATGATATTTATTTTTTAGTATGTATTTGAAATAACTGAAGATGAAGATGAATTCATGATTCAGTTGATGCAGAAGAGTACCAGAAATAAAGAGGGCAGTACTAATGCTACAATTGGTTTTACACTATTTAAAGTTAGTTTCAATATATATTATAAATATAACTCTCTGCCCAGGTTGTGAACCTTGAAGTAGTTGCAATCCCTTGGTAATCTTTTTGTTCTTGGGGCAACACCGTTCAACAAAATAGGCCTTAGGCTCCATCAATTCAAGTACAATCGACATAAAACTTGGCATGCTTCTTTGAACAATTGTGTATCGGTTGGTGAACTTTGATTTTTAATAGAACCTCAGAGTTTTAAGATGGCTGCAATGATGTGCGCTATTACTTGTTGTAATTTTCAGGAGGGTTGGGTGGCCGAATGGTTAGTGAGTGAGTGTTGTATCATTAGGTCTGTCATTGAGTCAACTGGCATGGTTTTACGATTCCCTGGTTGTTCACGACAAGGAGTAGGGTCACCTGTCCAACCATGTGGGTTTTCTCCAGGTCCTCCGGTTTCCTCCCACTGCTAAAAACCCCTACGTGCAAGGGAATTATTGAAATAAAATTGAACCACATGTTGGTCCCAAAATGACCTAGTTTGTGTCGAGTGGATGTTAAACACCATTTCTCTCTCACTCTTTGTAATTTTCAGGATTTTCCAAGCCCAGTGTTTGAACTACAACCTACAGATACTAAATTTTCTTGTTTTCACAGAAAAGTTGTGAAACAATTTTGCTTATTTAAGATCAAATTTGAGGGAAATTTTTAATATGTGAGGCAAGAAACAAAGTTATAGAGGCAAAAACCAATTTTGAGCTTGATACAACATGTTTTTTTTACTTACAGGTTGAGTTAAATCGTAAATACAGAATTCATAATTTAAATCTACATGAAAAAGTTACATCCTCCGTATTTAGAGACAGTCGTTCTATGTTTATGAAACACACAGCAACTAAAGGACGATATGTGATTATACCTAGTACCTTTGATGCAGGCGTAGAGGCTGCGTTCCTGATGAGAGTCTATACAGACACAGCTAATGCTTTCAAGTAGGTTCAACAAAATCTAAAGTCATGGTTCTCCCTTTCACAGAACGTTAATAATCAAAAAACTTCTATACCCTAGGTGCAGAAAAATAAGCCTTCAAAACCCTTTTCATTGCATGTTCAATTAATATCCTGTCGTCTTTGCATAATATGTTCGCACTAAAATATCACATGACAGTTGGAAGAGTAGGCTGTAGTGCCACTGTCCGGGCAATATTTCTTCATAGCACACTGTATGGCGTATGCCCACCTTCATTAGCCCAGTCGGAGCAGAACAGTAGGACGTTAAACCCCATATCATTTCATTTCTATCCTGATGTTGGCCTGGAGGTCGGGTGTTCGAGCCCTGCATTGGCCGAGAAAGTTCATCAGGATTTTCCAACATTGTTTCCCTTTGTCAGTGGTGCAGGACAAGAGGGTCTGACAAGGACAGCTGTCTAGTCATTTGGATGTGACAAAAAAACCAAGGTCCCATTTATATAAGAGTAGGCCATAGTGCCGCTGCCCGAGCAAAATTTCCCTCATAGCACACTGCATGGCGTATGCCCGTCTTCATTAGCCCAGTCGGAGCAGAACAGTAGGACGTTAAACCCCATTTCATTTCATTTTCTTTCTATCCTGGTGTTGGCACCCTTCTACTTGCTGGCGTGTACGTTAAAGAACCATTGATAATTTATGAAGAGTAGATGAAAATGCTGATGCCTGGGTTAAATTCCCTTCATAGTAATTTGCATGTTGTGTGTATGTCTGTCTGGTGAAGAAAGTAGGATGTTTTTATAAAACCCCATTGCATTTCATTCTGTATTTTGGTACATTTGTAGCTAATTGTATTATGTACTTTCAGGGAATTGACCTTGGATCATCCTGACAAGAAATGGTGGGATTGCTGCGGTGGTGCTCCGAAATTAGTTACCCATATTAAAGTTATTCGAGCACAGGGTCTCGAGAAACAGGATGTTCAAGGTAAAATATTTACGATACATTTATTTTGAGTTATTGGCCAATGGGTTGTGGCAAGCTCCATTGGAAAAATTTTCATAGGTTATCCTAGCTTTAGTAATACGAGAGAGAGAGAGAGATAGAGATGTGGTTTAACGTCCACTCGACCCAAACTAAGTCATTTTGGGACTAACACATGGTTAAATTTTATTTCAATAATTCACTTGCACGTTGGGGGTCTTTAGTAGTGGGAAGACCCGGAGAAAACCCATGAGGTTTGACAGGCGACCCTACTTATGTACAACAGGGAAATCACCAGTTGTCTCAATTTAGTAATAGGAGCCTGGTGGTCGAACTGTAATAATAGTGACTGTAGAGGCCCCTCATGTAGAATGTCCAGAGGGATTCCCATCTGTCAGTAAGAGTAGGATGTCTGGTCAAAATTCCACTCATGGCAAACTCCATGGCGTATGTCTGTCTTCAGCCACCTAGTTGGTGCTGGAATATAGGACGTTATACACCATTTTATTTCATTTTTCAGGTAATAATATCAAGATAACAAGATTTTAACAAATTCGTACCTTGTTTAATAATAACAATGCCTCATATTTTACCAAATATATTTATACAGGTGCTGATCGGTGTTGTATCATGTTAATTACATGATGCATATTGTGTTAATTACAATGTGTTATATATTATACAGGTGCTGATCCGTATTGTGTTAATTACAATGTGTTATATATTATACAGGTGCTGATCCATATTGTGTTAAACCGTGTTAATTACAATGTGTTATATATTTTATACAGGTGCTGATCCGTATTGTGTTATATCGTGTGAAGGTGAACGAGCAACAACTTTATGTGATAAAAATACAACAGATCCAACGTGGAATGCGTCTGCTGTATTTTACAGACGAAATCCTTTAAAGTCACCCCTTAAAGTACAGGTTAGTTTATTTCCTTAAAATACAGGTCAGTCCTTATAGTACAGGTCAGTCCTTAAAATACAAGTCAGTCCTTAAAGTACAGGCCAGTCCTTAAAGTACAGGTCAGTCCTTAAAATACAGGTCAGTCCTTTAAGGGGCATTAATTAAGATTAGATAAAGAGCTGACAGTTTTCGTTATAGTTCAAAAATAAATAGAGAAAAGAGAATATGCTGAAAATTTCATTCCAATTACTTCACTCTGAATCAATATATTAGCAATTCAATTTTAGGCTAGCCTCGATCGTTATTACTAAGGTTGGTGCGGAAATAAACAAAGTCTCGATTATCCATTTTTACGTTAATTCATCGATCACAAAATGTATTCAAATCCACTAAATATCGCAGTCTAGTGTTAATATCAAGAGTTGATTAAGGTCTGGATAAGTTATTTATATCTAATTAATAATTTAGATAACATTAAAATTTAAATCCTAAAGAAAGACCTGCAATAGGCAGATTTAGCTCTTGCATAATGTATGTTTAAAATACAGGTTTAAACAAAATGGGTCAGTTTAAACCCCTTGCCGAAAACCTTGTGAATTTGATAGAGGCTATGGTTTTTAACATTTTTTTTAAAAGTTTGAAGCAACATACCATTTCTGAGTTAGCCTCTTGCACTGAAAACCTTGTGACCTACGATAGAGGCTACAGATTTTTTTTAAATTTGGTGTAAAGCATTGGGGTCATAAATGGATGAACTCTATCGATATTCACAGTTAATCCCCTTTTCCGAAAAACTTAATAACATGATAAAGGTCACAGTCTTTAACCCTTGTCGGTGCTCGTGGGGTCTCCGTGGACCCCATGCACATGTTTTATAATGTTTTGTAATAACTACTGGGCACTGCTTACTGAAATTTAGTGACTTTGTCTCCTATACATTTTTACACGTAGCGAAGAGTTCGGTATTCATCTGCTTCCCACATGCAGAGTTCTGTTACATGCAAATCAGGCCCAACGCTTGAAGGAAACAAGGGGTCCGACTCACTGTAGGGATTTTCCTAATGCTGTCTGATACCATATTGCATATGCCAGAGTATTCTCTCTTTTAACATCTGCATGTTACAAATACCAAAAATTAAATGATGAATTCCAAATATTCAATGGTTTTTGTATCAAGTGTGAATTGCCATTTAACCTCTTTATCACATAGTACACAAAGTAGCAATGTTGTGAGAATTATTAAATCTTTTCCAAATGTCACTAAAATGTTTTTGTATAATAATTTAGTTGTTTTTCAGTTGTCAAATATGAATATAAATAAAAACTAAATCGCTGCCTTTTAATTAAAATATACATGTATCTGTACTTAAAAACTTTGAATTATAACTGGGGTCCATATGGACCCCTTGATACCTGTTATGTGATTCTTACAACGTGAACCGACAAGGGTTAATGGATTTGTTTCAAATCCGATGTGAAGCATTGAGGTGATGAGAGGATGAACCCAATAAATATTCAGCGTTCTGTGAGCTTCCGTTCCAGAGTTACCCCCCCCCCTTTTCCGATGTAAAGCATTGAGATGATGAGAGGATGAACCCAATAAATATTCAGCGTTGAGTGAGCTTAAGTTCCAGGGTTACCCCCACCCCCCTTTTCATTCAATAAATTGATAACGTGTGTACTTACAAGAATTAATTTTATTTCCAGATCTGGAATGCTAACTTGTTACGAGATTCCTACATGGGAAAACACATCTTTTTGTCAACTGACGAATTAAACGGACAGCAACAGGAAGTAGACCTTGTAGGAAGAAAGAAAGAGTCGAATCAGACAAGACCGGGCAAGCTCATCGTCCAAATTACTCAAAGTCGAACCTTAACTGCTGTTTAATTTCATACACAACAAAACGGTCTGATTAAAATATAGACAGTGTGATTTAAATACACACAACCCGACAGTCTGATTTAAATACACATAACAATCTGATATCAATGCACATAACACAGTTGGATCAAAATATACCTAACCCGACAGTCTGATTTAAATACACATAACACAGTCTGCACACTGATTAAAATATACACAACCCGACAGTCTGATTTAAATACACATAACAATCTGATTTCAATGCACATAACACAGTTGGATTAAAATATACACAACACAACAGTCTGATTTAAATACACATAACACAGTCTCAAGTCTGATTAAAATATACACAACCCGACAGTCTGATTTAAATATACACAACACAACAGTCTGAAATATACACAACACAATTTGCTTACATAGAAAACATTTGTTCGAGCAACTATTAGCCCAGGTAACTATTGAAATGAAAGATGTCATGTTAGTCTCAAAATAAACAGACTATTATATTGAGGAGACATTATATTATAGTTCATGTATCAGATCTACACAATTCGACCAAATATAATTAAAGATACATTATGTAAGATTCAAATAAAGAGCTGACCATTCTCGCTATAATAGTTTGAAAATAGATAATGTAAAATGAAGATATTGAAGATTTCATTCAAATTACTTCATTCTGAGCCAAGTTATCACTGTTTGTAGTTTTGAGTATGTAGTTTGTAGTTTTAAAATCTTAGGTATCCGATGACATCGAGAGTTGATTATGGTCTGGATAAGTTAATTAATGTCTAATTAATAATTGAATAACATTTCGGGCCTAAAGACAGACCTGCAATAGGGAGATTTAGCTCTTGCATAATGTATGTTTAGTCAGTCTTATCACAATTGCTAGGGGATTACAGATTTATAAATCTATTGGTTAATAAGGTTAACATTTACAAGATGATGTATATAATAAATAATACTCAATAGTACATCATCATTATAGATGGATGACAGTATATCTTCCAATCTGTATAAACAATGTAGTTCATGTGGTATTGTTCATCTGATCTATGTCGTCGTTGGTCTTGTTACGTTCTGCTTTCACAGTAGTGATATTTGAGACAGGCACACGCCCCCCCCCCCCTATTTTTTGCGGTGGCGAACAATTTTTTGCTCCATATATTCTCGCTGGAAAGGAGAACAAAAATACTTAAAACTGGTAGTGATCCCCGTCAAAATTTACTCTGAAAGGAGCCGGTTGGTGACTTGGCTGATTGCCCGTCGGTCCGCCCACCGAGGGCTGGGCTTTGCACGTCCCCCCTTTATGACGATCCTGGAACCACCCCCTGAAAAACATAATGTTTGGTAGTTATTGGACCCTGACATCTGTTATAGTTTTGTTCTTGTACGGAATATAGATAAACATGGGTCTTATTCTAACTCTGGTATTTATATTATAGTAAAAGTCTTGTGTGAAATATACAAGTGTCTTGCCATATAAAATAGATATACTGTAATCCCAAGACATATGTGACATACGTTCTTGTATGAAGGGTCTTGGTATAATCAATCACATGATTATAATGAAACCCTTGTGATTATGTAAACGTAAAAGATGTATTTTGTATTTTAATCAGATTGTTGGCTGTTATTTGTTTTTATTATTATTATTCTGCTCATTTTATAATAATTAATATAAACCACATGGTATTTTAATGTCAATTATACAGCTTGTATTCTTCAACTATTATATAAAGTCCAGTGTTTACATTGACATCACATAACTGTTTCTAGGGGTATCATACTAACTGTTGGCCAGTAGGCTACAAAGTCTTTGTTATTACATGGCCAGTGTCTGAAATTTTCTTTTTTTGGCCCTTGTTATAGTTTGCAGTCTTCACAGAAAGACGTCAAGGGCTTTGAGTGGGAGATACACTGGTATATATTATTCTATGTAGATGTAATATTAACATTATTCTAATTCTGTGCATGTTTTGAACTGTATTATAACAATAGGCTGTGCTTATATCTTGAGAAATAGCTGTATTATCATATACAAAGGACACAATTCTACGGAATATAATGATAAAATACACAAGAGACAATTCTATGGTATATACATGTAATGATAAAACACACAGGACACAATTCTATGGAATATAATGATAAAATACACAAGACACAATTCTATGGAATATAATGATAAAATACACAAGACACAATTTTGTGGAATATAATGATAAAATACACAAGACACAATTTTGTGGAATATAATGATAAAATACACAAGACACAATACTATGGAATACCATTACTATATTTCAACTAGAATTCTCTAGTCTTTATCACGCTTGACTTGTGTCCTGTGTATTTCTAGTTCAGTTATGAAATACCATTGAAACAGTTTAATATAATAATACACTACCGGTATCTGTTTATATCTAAAAAAAAATGTTTTTCTTTAATTGCCACATGTAATAATGTATAGATTACATTTGTTGGATGAGTAATCCAAATAGGTACCAGTGGTTGTTCGTTGGTGAAATTTAAACAAGAAAAACAAACAATGTGCTGTAGAGATGCTTTTGTTATGGCTGGATTTTGTAAAATATATTACCATGATAAATGTTTCTTGTTTAGACTTTTATCAGGGGGCTTTATTCATAACAGCTTCAGCTAAAATATTTTAATAATCCAGGCCTTTCATGGCTAATAAGAACCAATATTGAAATGTCAGCATCCTTAAAATAGTTTAGATATTGTTTCTGTGAATCAGGCCCTGCGTTAATAATCTAAGTTGATTAGCTTCTAGTTCCTGGAGCCTGTTTCAAGAAATTTTAGCTAAGTTAAAATCCCAAATTTAGTAATTTGATTGGATAATATTAGATTGATTTTAGTGGTCAGCCAATCAAAATTGAAGTATCTACTAAAATTTGGATTTTATCTTTAGTTAAGATTTCGAGAAAGAGGGCCCTGTTCCATCCATAAGTGCTGCTTCAAAAGAGCTTGTTTGTCCATAATATTT